CAAAAAGGGGGGCACACTTTTAGATGTCATAAATCATTGTCATTTCACTCATAATGATTCTTTAGACTGTGTTACTGCCCCCTTAGAATTTGGATGGCATTCAACGTTCTTGTATTTGTACAAGAAGATACAAGTTTGCTGATCACCTCCGTGTTACTAATGTCACGTTTCAGTACATATGAGCGCGATGTTATGGATGTGGAAGTCCCAGCATTGGTCCCAGCCACGGTCCCTGTACATGCCATGGTCCGTGTTCCAGGTACAGCTACGATCCCTGTTCCAGCTACGGTCCCTGTTCAAGGTACCGCTACGGCCCCTTTCCAGCTACGGCTATTCCGACGTTGGCGCAACGTTGGCAATGGTTGGCAACGTCGCGGTCGGATTTCATACGTTGGCCCGACGTTGGCCCAACATCGGGGAAGCATCGCGGATATTTTATTCAAGGGACGCTACTCCAAACTGTTAGTTTTTCCCAGAGGGCGCGCAGATTCTTCGAGCAGACGACGCGACATGATAACAAGCTTGGCCATCGGAGTACAGGTTTCCTCGAATATATAGCGGTAAGTGTTTCATTTTGTGTTTTTATTATGTTCAACTCTATTTCCAAACTGTGCCCACCGAAAAACAGTCATGGTTCATTCAGAGATACCAACGTGAATGATTATTTACTTGAAATTGAAAACATGCCATGAATGTTAAATGACCACATCGCGGTTCTCGGCTAAGGAAATTCATGACAAGCCCAATAAGTACATGTATGTGATCACACTGGTGGCTTTGAAAATGCAGCATTCCAGCATCAAAAGAATATCGAGCTTGTCAGTATCAATTAGTTGGTTGTGATCGAGTGTGCATATAAGTTTAAAGTTTACAAGTCGGCGAGTAACCCTCGCCTGCTCGCTGTATCGCGCGTAAATACGCTGTAGTGTGGATCTAACTTTTAAATACAGTCCGGAGATCACGAGCCGTCCATCCACCTACATGACCACCGAATGATCCCGAATGTGGCATTTGTTATATGATGGTTGATTGTGGCAACGGCAAAAAAATATTACAGTTACAGTAGCAGTCTCCATGTACTCGACGTGCGGAGCTTCACTTGTGTAAGCGAATCGCGAGTTCAGTTTTCGATCACTGTCTGGGCGTGTACAGACTCGTGCCGGTTATATTCGGACACTTCACATAATATCCATAGGCTAACATGTTATTTCAGTGCAGCATAAATAAGTTTCATGAAGTGAGTTTAGCATGGATCTTTGTAAAATTTGACACTCAGACAGGCAAATGTGAAATCAGCTAGGCTCTGCGCACATAATTTCAGTTCAATTTTCCGACCACTATTTAAATAATTGTTGCCATTCGATAAATAAGCAGCAGAAAAATAAACAGAAATTATGTGATCATAGGTAAGATGATTCCTCACGAATGTGCAAAATTTGACTTGCATCTTACAAAAATTAAATCAATGAAAATTATTTATGCTAAACTGAATTAACACGTATGTCTATGGAAACAAAGTCGCTTCAGTTTGCAAACATATATAGTTGATACGACTGCATTGTGTTTTCGACATTTTCTGATATCATCTTATCTATGCTATTTTACAAATTTGCCCAACATCTGAATAATTACAAAACAGTTTTTATTTTGCATTTATTCTATATTTGAATTACCGGTTTTAATAGAATGTAAGATACAATAGAAAGGTAAATTTACTGCTTTACAGTAATCACCATATCTACTTAAACTGACACCAGTTACATCATTCTTTTAAGAAATGGGGTTAATCTACATTGGTTAAAGTAAGAAAGTGATAACTTGTGGTTTCTCTGCAGGTGATGTTTACAGTTTGTGGCAGCATATTGATTTGAAGTACAGAACATGGAGTGGTGATTCCAACTGCTGTACCCATAAAAAAGGTATGCACAATGCAAAAAAATGGAAACATCTTCCAGAATGAAAATATCTAAATAAAAACTGAATTTTAAAACTTGATATATCCAAATCATTTAAGTATTTTCTCCGGTGATTCAGTGACACCAGATATCCATTAATGTTTTAAAAAGTAGCCAATGTTTGTTTGCATCAATAATAGATGTCTTGTGAAGTCATTAGATGTTTATGTCATAAATTCTTTTTCAGAGGCCAAGACACAAGCACAGACCATGTATACAGATGAAAATTTCCTGTGATTATTTCTGTCTCCTCCTCATCTGATAACTGAAAATATAAGGATGCCCTGCCACTCAGTCCAAGGCCTGACTTGTAATTTAAGAAATAAATTAAGATCATCTAAACCAGACTTATCTTTTGTTCATTGTGTTGCTGTCATAATCAAACTTATAACTGATCAAGAAAATGGATTGTGGGGCATCAGATGCAGAGACTATTTTGCTGCTCTCACTCTTGCCCTTGGTGTTAAATGTCTGGGGTAAGGCCAAGAAAACATTTAATGTTTCAAATCATTGTGTTGGGATTTCTTCCAGGGTCTGTTGCCTAATGGTTATCTATGTAAAAATCAACTATTTTTTTAATATCGTTTGTGATATATATAGACTTGAAAATTGTTTTGAAATATGCATAATATTTTAACAAATTGTATTCAGAAACACTTTAAATTTTTCTTGAGCCTACATAAAGCTGTCCAGAGGTGTCCAGCTAAGACAGAGAGAGTGAATTAAACTTGAAGAATGTATTGCTTGCTATGTGAGATTATTGCGAGATTTGTACAAACATTTCAGGGTAGGTAAGAGGTATTGAGGAATGAAACAGACGTTGATCCAACGTTGGGCCAACGTTTGTTTGCCAATGTTGGGCCAACGTTGAACCAACGTTGCCCCGACGGTCACGATTACGTTGGGCCAACGTTGGCGGCCAACGTAAGTGGTGACGTTGGGCCAACGTCAGAATGCTATCTGGGTACCGCTACGGCCAATTTCCAGCTACGGCTACGGTCCCTGTTCCGACCTCAGTCCAACAACTTCCAGTCCCCGTGACAGATAGGAAGTGGAATTAAAATTATTGGAGGCTCAGCTGGAATATTATCACCTAAAGATAAAGAAATTGAATAAGACTAAAGAACTGCATTATACATACATAAAGAACTTAGTTACGCACCCCTAATATGTTTCACAATGGTGATGATAATGCTGATGTTGACGTCATTTGACAAGAATTTCCACCCTTCATGAAGATGACTCGTACACAGTGGGTACATATAGTGCTAAAGTTGTTCTTTGTTGTATTTCAATTTTAATCAGAGATTCAAGTTCAATATATATATTTTATTATATGCAAAGATGTTGAAAGTGTTTTGCAAGTTTTTCAAAGATGTGACAAGTAAATAATTAATCATATATATATACAGAAGTAGTATTAGCGTTGTTTTTATTAGGGTCAAAGTCTTGTATTATAAGAAGGATTTCTTTTGTCACATAAATCAGAAATTATTTACTGTTAATCTTTTATGAGTGCTATTCTTACAGCTAATGATAGTTTTCATAATTAATCTTAAGACGGTATGAAATCATTTTTATTTAATATTGAGTAACATGGTGATGATGATGATGATGACGATGTTAAAATGATAAAAAAGAAGTTATCAAAGCAAACGATACTTTGAATCTTTACCTGATGATTACTAAGATGTAAATTGTCATGGAATTCTTAATACAAGCCGTCATATGATTGCGTGCTACTTACATTTCCGTGGTATTTTCTTATGTAATTTCTCACGAGCCACTCACCAAATTGCGCCATCTATCGATTGTTTACGTTCATCAGTCGATCGTCACGGGTCTGAGCAAAAAATGCTCAGACTTTCATCAATTTGCGTACGTACAGTCATCAACTATTAAAAACTTTTGCAACTTTATGTCAACGCACTTTTTGTGCGATCTTTACAAACATTTTCTATAGACTTATTAAGCTTCAAATTTTTCCAAACATTGCTCGTTTGCTAGCTGATGTAATCAATAAAAACAATCACGCGATCTAAGGAGGGAATCCCATGTTTTTAAACTATGGAAGCCCGATAGGGTCATCTCTTAAGTCACGTATCCCGTTGATCAACTCTACATATTTTATGAACTGGAAATTTATGCTGAAGAAATGTGACTATTGCGTTAATTCTACAAAATCATTGACTGTATTACAATTTATCAACTTCGTTATTTCTGACAACGTGTGAGATTGTGACATGTGCCGTGCGCCCGTAACTTGATCTGTAGGGAATACCACGGAAACATATGACGTCACCAGAGTTTGTGCACAATGGCCGCCTGTCGTCCGATACGGACCACAATGAACTTCAGAATGACAAAAGTGTTTTATTGACATTAAATGATACAATGGTATGTCGTCTAACACTATGTTATATGTTTATATGACTTGACATTATCAGCGACCATATTCATAGTCGTAAATTTCTTCATACCACGGAAACCCATGACGCGTGGGTACAAACATCCCAGATAGCATTCGGACGTATTGTACAACGTTGGCAATGTTGGCAAAGCCATTGCCAACGTTGGGCCAACGTCTGAATGCTATCTGGGATATATATTACTCAAAGTTGTGATCCTTAGGAAACTTTGAGAAGTATCACGTCCTAGTTTTCTCAGTGTCCGATTGATAAACATGAATTAAGAAACAATCCAAATTTAGTGAATATTATTATAAGATGGAGTACCATGTCTAGAAATGAAGATTGAAACTTGTTGGTGATATCTGACACCGTCTGCTGGCGGCTGAACAACTTGACGAGGCTGTCTCTGTCCATCTTGGAGTCCGTCTTGTCCAGGAGGTTATGGGATGTTTGTGTTTACAGATATCGTGGAGCACTGCACACACAATTACAATTTGTGGAATATTCAATTGCAGCATGTGAAAGATAGAAATTATGGAAAACAAGGAAACAAATTATATTATCGTAATTATCCAAGAAATACATGTCAGCATATTATTCATTTCTCACAAATTTTCACAGATAACATGACAAGAAATGGTGAATGCGGTCGCTTCCCACTTTATCTAGAAGCACAGATAAAAGTTATCAAATACTGGGTAAAGCTCTTGAATATGCCTGCATCAAGATTTCCTAAGAAATGTTATAACATGATGTATTTGTTTTACACCAACGGAAAATCAAATTGGGTAACTAATGTTAGAAATTTACTAAATCATTGTGGTTTTAGTGAAGTATTTTTGTCACAAAAGATTAGCCCAAAGTCATTTTATAATGCTTTATCGCAAAGATTAAAAGGTATGTACATTCAGACCTGGAACTCATCTTTAATACAGTCGCCCAAACCCACTTTTTACAGTACTTTTAAATCTTTTTTCCATACAGAGCAATACCTACACGATATCAATCTTAGAAAATTCCACGTTTCATTATCCAGATTTAGATGCTCTTCACATGATCTTATGATCGAGAAGGGCAGATATCATAATATTTCAACAGAGAACAGATTGTGCAAATTTTGTGCACTAAATGTAATTGAAGATGAATTCCACTTTTTGCTGGTATGGCCTTTCTCTGCTGATTTAAGGACAAAATATCTACCACAATATTACTATTCACATCCTACCATGTTTAAATTTAATTTGATAATGAACTCTAATAATACAACTTATATTCGTAAACTTGGTATGTATATCCACCATGCTTTTGAACAAAGAAAATAATGTTTGCAAACATTGTGATTGTATGTCATTATTGTTTTTATATTTTGTACTATAGGCCTGTGGCCTCTTCAGTAATGGAATAAAGAGATTTGACAAGAAATGTTTCTCTAATAAGAAATAATATAAGGTCTTATCTCTCCATGCAGGACATTGAGCCTTCTCTATAATTTTCCAAGGCTCTCTCAACACCACTCCTTGTAATCTTGTGAGATCTAAAGAATTTTTTTTAAAGAAATATAGTTAAATTTTTTGCAAGCTTAAACGTATTTCAATGTATTGAAAAAAAATAATCAAATCCAGTAAGATAAATGTATAATTCTATACTAATAATAACATTAATTTTGAAATTATGTGACTGAAATTCTGACTCAATTTATAATTTTATACATGAAATCTTTATTTCTTCAGCTTATCATCGATTTCGTTCAAATTTTAAATATATGTTCAACACAACATATAAAAACCAAATGTGATTGCAAAAGAAAGATTTTTTAAAGATTTTTTATAGTTCGCATGCAGTATAGTATTCGAACCCCTATGTGTTTCGGGAGTTTTGCATTATTATTATGATGCATACCTAAATGTAGATGAACCTCTGACAGTACTATAGTGATATTATATATTTAAAATGTTTGATAATCTAATAAAATAAGCAACGTTAAATCCTTAATCCCTAATCAGTTTTATGCGGAATTAACAAGCTACAATGTCATTTCGTTTGAAAAACACAATTTCAAATTATAGAATTTACCACATTACCAAAAATGATTTACCGTGACAAAAGTATTCGCGGAAAAACAAGATGGCGGACGTAAACAAAGTACCGTCTCAAAATTTCAAACAGGATTCACAGAAAAATGAATTAGTTAAAATTACCTCAGGATTTGTCAGATGACCTTTGCTACCTATGGAAGACAGTATCCTGGCTCTCAGTGAGATGTACAAATTACGCACATATTCAACACTAAGGTTTGTCCATATGTCATGAACCGCTGTGATAAGTTCATCTGGGGTGTTTATATGTCTTTAGTTTGAATTTCAAGTGATCTCTTCAACCGATGCCAAACATTTTCAATAATGTTCAAGTCTGGAGACTGGGCTGACCATGTCATATATCTAATGTCATTGTCACGTTTGTAATCCTCCAAAATTCTAGCCCGATGTACAGGTGCATTGTCATCTTGAAAACGGTATGGTTTATCCACAAAATGACGGACTAAAACAGGCCACAGGGTGTCATCGAGAATGTTTTTGTACTTTATGTCATTTATGTTTCCATCAACTTTACAAATATACAACCCATCAAAAGTGTAGACGCACTAGTGTAAATGTAGCCACTTACTTCAGTCAACTGTTCTAAACTAGGTTTTGCAATATTCCATACTGTCTAAAGGTACTGTTTACACATGAACTGATGTATTGTAAAACAAATTGGTAACGGTGAAAAGATTATTGCCAAGGGTTCAATTAATGATGAAACTCAAAGAAAATTGGTGTATTCTTAACAAAACTTTACACCAAAACGCAGCTGTTCACATGCACGATGTTTGCACATGCTTTCCAGCAATTTGATGCATGATCCTCGTGCAATTCATAGGTCTGCATAAGGTTTGCAGTTGGTTCCCACAGGCTAGTGGAGAAATTCATCTTCGATGTAACCAGATATATATGCATAACATATATCCAGTGCTTTAAGTGAGTCTAAACTTTTGATGGGTAGTATAGTTCCCACACCAAACCAAGTAATACATCCCCAGATCATAATAGATATGGCGATGACATGTCGGATACATACATTCTCGGCGGTATACTTCAGCTGACGATCTCCAAACAAATACTCGATGATTTTGTCCGATCACGATCTGAGACTATCACTGAAGATTATCTGATTCCACTGACCATTCACAGTCCAACTTCTATGGTCTAAACACCATGACAGTCTCTTTCTCCGATTCACTTCCCTGATACACATCCTCTTCCGAACAACACGTCGGAAAACTCTATTTTTGTGCAATGCGTGTTGAACTGAGCGTGCACGAACCTTAACATCTCTCCCCGCAATATACAAGAAAGTTATGTTCTTCAAAACACTTCCACGGTTTCTGCGAACAGTACGAAGAAATTACTTTCTACCTCTCTCAGTGATCCTGGAGGGTTGCCCACTTCTTCGTCTATTTTCAGCACTTCCCGTTTTCAAATATTTTTTCCATATGTAAGAACATGTAGTTTCAGGAACTTCCAACAGTCTCGATATGTCTACAAATCGTTTTCCTTTCCTCCACAACTAATGATTTCACATCATCTGTCAGCTCTGTCGACCTACGGCCCATCTTTACATTCATCCGTCTGCGATGGCGACACGAGAGCAGACGACAAAATTATGACTTCACAGCTCGAGCAGAGTTTTTTTTTAACGTTCCATCTGGGGTCCGTATCACGTGACGGCACGTTCGTTGTCATTTCCGTGAATACTTTTGGCATGAGGCTGTATTCTAATTCATATATGTTGGACAATGCCTGTATAATTTGCCTCTGGTCCAGCTTGCGGCTGCAGGAAGGGTGTCAACATATATCTTTTGCATGGATATAACCACTATCTCCAAGTAAATGGGACCCAGCTGGCATGAAACTCTGAATTTCAAACAGCTGACGAACACTGCTTTCGTTAAAACTCCGGGCGTCGTGTGTTGCCTCAAGCCACTTCGCTACAACATCTCTAATAAGAGAATCAGAATCAAAAATGATTTGTACTTTCAGGAAATGACATATAGTTCTTCCGATTCACATACTAGGGCCAATCTTGAGTAGGACCTATTATCTTCACATGTGTCCCATCAATGACACTTCCGACACCGGGGCAACCCGCAAGTGCGTGGAGTTGACGATTATGACGTTGTGTTTCCTTCTGTGAAGTCGGCATTGAAATGAATTGTCTGACAATTTGAGGGTCAGAAAGTACTGACAAAGTTTCTGATCTTACTCTACTGATTGTGGGCTTGACTTACACCGAACTCGTCGCCGCTACAAAGCTTGATTTTGCCAGTAGCTAAGTAACGCATTGTGATGGCAATATCTTGGTCTCAGCGTCCAAGGAATATGATTCCGTTTTGTCGGACTTTTCAAGGGTTGTCGGATCAAATTAACGATGAAAAGAATTCCACCAAGTCCATACGATACCTCTTTATCAATTCTTCATCGTTGTACACTGCTAGTACATCTCTTCCTAACCTAAATTCTCTCAAGCGACGCACCCGAGCGGCCATGTTTGTCAAGCTAAGAAAATTCTTAACTAGTTAGGAGTGTTACGTGTCTTCTGAACACAAGACGTAGGTTAGCTTCGCATGTTTATTAATGGCTGCGTACAAGAAGAGCACATGGCCAAGAGGAGGTAACTCTAGTAGTTTTTACTCTGCCGCTAGGGGGGAAAGTATGGAAGGCAGTATACGTCACGTAACATCCTTCCTCTTTTAAGAGTACTAACCTCAACATAATAAATGTTATACTGAGCAACAAGTAACTAACAACTTGCACACTAAATGTAATCAAAATAGCTGAGAAATAAGCTGAACTGCTAATGTAGTGATATAACTAAATATTACTTTACTCAAGCATCCTTGTGCTTAAAAGATAGAGTAGTGATAACACTTGGTCGGAAAGATTTGACATGAAAGCTAAACATCTTCGAGATTTTAAACGATTCATAGACCGTTCATCTTTCATAAACTTAAAGTTCATACTGGTTCAACATCAACATGATTACAGTTCTCAGAGGTTGAGCTTCTCAACCGGTTTCACAGTTCTTCCGGATCTAGTGTGGTAAGCCGGAGTGTCACTAGATTTGTCAGCATCAACAACAATAGGTGTTGTTGGCAATGTCTGTTCTCCCCGCTGCACAGACGTCTCCTTCTCGTCTCTCTTTACCAGGCTCCGACCCAGAGTCGATATTCTTGTAGAGTATACGAGTCATTGGGTTTTTGTGGTGTCCCAGGTAATGTCTTGCGAGATGGTACAGAGTTCTTCTCAGTGTTATCAGTTCTTGCCAAAAAGTACTTGGCCATACCTGCCACATTAGTTTCATCTTTTCTACAGCAGGTGACATTCTGTCAGCTCAAAGATCCTCTTTGTGATCTGAGCATGTAGACCCTTTGCTTTTTCTTAAAAAGAACTGGAGAACTGATTAAGTACAGCAGAAAAGATTCCACCCAACTATGCAACCCTGTATATGAGACTGTCTAATTTCGTTCATTTTAGATTACCCTGACTGAGATTACTGATTATTAACCTTTGTTTGAGATGATGTGAGAGTGATCATTGCAGATGGTGTTACTTAAATTACAGCAAAATAGCAACAAAATATCATCGTTAGTCAAGTCAGAGTCACAGATAATATGCAAATATGTTTCCATTTTTTGACAAATTTACTTTGGAAAGGTTT